TCCTCCCACCTCAGCCTTCCAAGTACCTGGGACTACAGGTACACACCACCACACCTGGCTAGTTTTTTGATTTATTGTGGAGACAAGGTCTCACCACGTTGCTCAGGTTGGTCTCAAACTCCTGAACTCAGACAGTCCTCTTGCCTCCGCCTCCAAAAGTGATGGGATTACAGGTGTGAACTGCCACATCACGCCCAGTCCCACGCGTCTTTTCCCTTTGCCAATTCAGATCTGTGTCCTTTTGCTATAATAAAATTGTTACCTATGAGTTTATAGTTAGGAGTTCTATGGATCCTTCTAGCAAATCATTAACCCCAAGGGTGATTTTGGGGACCCCTGAAATATATACCAAGATAGTTTTCTTTGTACTTATCCTAGCAGGTGTTTGCCAAGCTTCTTTAATCAGTAAATGTGCCTTTCATAAAATCTGAGAAGTTTCTGGGTATTTTGTCTTCAAGCATGTCCTTCTCCTGTGTCTCACTTTCCTTCTGGGATTCCAATTATATGAGTTAGGTCTTTTGATATCATTCCACAGGGCCCTGAAGCTCTGGTGATATTTTTTATTTTATGTTTTTAAGATTGGAAAACACAGTTTATTTAGAAAGTAAATGGGGGGGGAGGGAAAGAGGGAGAGGAGATTCACCTTCTCAAGGTAGGGGAGGGGGCCAAAGCTAGGAAAACAATGGCAGCCATAGGTCAATGAGCCAGTGGCAACACCAGAAGATATTTTTTAAAAATTTGTTTTCTTTCTATTCTTCAGATTGGATAGTCTTCTGTTATCTAGCATCAAATTCACTGACTTCTTCCTGTCATTTCCATTTTGCTGTTCAGGTCACCTGGTAGATTTTAATTTCAGCTGTTATATTTTACAGTTCTACAATTCCCACTTGACTCTTTTTTGTTTCTATTTCTAGGCCAAGATTTTCTTTCTTTTCATTCAGTGCAAGCATATTTCTCTTTACTTCAACGAGTGGTTTTAGAAAACTGCCTTAAGCCGAGCTCGGTGGCTCAGCCTGTAATCCCAGCACTTTGGGAGGCTGAGGTGAATGGATTGCCTGAGCCCGTGGGTTCGAGACCCGCCTGGGCAACTTGGCAAGACCTCATCTCTACAATAAATCAAAAAATTAGCCAGGCATTGAAGCGTGTGCCTGTAGTTTCTGCTACTTGGAAGGCTGAGGTGGAAGGATCGCCAGAGCCCAGCAGGTCGAGGCTGCGGTGGCCGGGAGCGGCCACTGCACTCCAGTCTGGGCGACAGAGACTCCAACGCAAAAAAAAAAAAAACAACAAAAAAACAAAAAACTGCCTTAGAGTCCTGTCTCCTAATTCCAACATATGAAGCTAGTTTCTGTAAATTGTCTTTTCTCCCTTCAAACTGGGTTATATTTTCCTGGTTCTCAAAATGCTGTGTAGTCCTGGACATTGTAAATATTACATTATACAGCTTCTGGACTCTATTGTATTCCTCTGGAGAGTATTGATATTTTTGTTTCAGAATGTAATTAAATTTGGTAGGACCCAAACTGCAAACTTTTTTCTCTTAGAAACTCAAATCTCAGTTCAGTTATTTTATTCTTAGCTGAGCTCCTTATACTCTTTCATGTATATATGTGCTTCAAAGATTAAACAGAGAAGGTAGGTCAGGTGGTCATCAAAGAGGCCTTTAGTTTGGAAACAAATGTGACCATGAATGCTAACAATTATTGGACACTAATTCTACACATATAAATATGGGTGCATGCCTTTGTAATCTTTGTATCGTTCCACTTCTTAAAAAAAACACAAAACCTTTAACAACTTCTATGACTGTATAATCTACTGCATGTCTATATCATAATATACTCAACCAATCTCTAATTGTTAAGACAGATATTTGCCACCATCACAAATAGTACTACAATGAACATCATTGTGCTTATTTCTGCACTTAATTGTGTGTGTGTGTGTGTGTGTGTGTGTGTGTGTGTGTGTGTGTGTGTTAGAATCTCACTCGGTTGCCCAGGCTGGAATGCAGTGGCCCACTCATGGCTACCACAGCCTTGACCTGCTAGATTCAGGTGATCCTTTCACCTCAACCTTCCAGGTAGCTGGAACTACAGGCCCATGCCACCACACCCAGCTAATTTTTTGATTTATTGTAGAGACGAGGTCTCACCAAGTTGCCCAGGATGGTCCCGAACCCCTGGGCTCAGGCAATTCTCTCACCTCCGACTCCCAAAGTACTGGGGTAATAGGCATGAGCCACCATGCCTGGCAATTTTTTTTTCTAGGATGAACTCCTAGAAACAAAATTGCTAGGGCAATTCTAGGTTTTCATTACATACTGCCAAACTACCAACCAGAAAGGTTATTAATTTACACACCTGCTAGCACACTTCATACCTATTTCCTTGCATTTTTGCCAGTGTGGATAGTAAGACACAAAAAATGATCTTCCTCAAATTAGGTGTGTGAGACAGAGATCTAATATTCCCCAGCTATTAGAGTCTATCATACCATAATTACTGAGTAACTAACTATAATATCGTCACAAAGGTTTCATTAGGAACTGGTACATAATATGCCATAAAAGAGCAAAAGAAAAATAAAATAGCTACAAGTCACAGAATGTGGTCGGTGACAAATATCCTGAACTTCCATAGCCTTTTTCATCTCTTACACTAAATAACTCAGTTGAGAATTACTAATAATCAGCACTTACACAGTGCTTTATTTACTACAAACACTATAAAGCAAGGCAAAATAATGATACCACATTAACAAAGGAAGATGCTGAACCAATTAGCTTAGATGCCTAAGGTCACACTAAAACAGGAATTTGCCAGAATTAGATACAGGAGTTCGAAAAGCCTAATCCCACATGCTTCATCACTCAGTAGTAACTGCCTGCAAGAATTATGACAACTCAGGAAGGAATCAAGAAGAGTGTACCAGAGCTAAAGAATTGTATTACTGAAATTATAATAAAGGCCATCCACTTCAACACCCTCACTTTCAACAGATACAGAAATGGAGGTCTTTTTTTTTTTTTTTTGAGTTGGAGTCTCACTCTGTCGCCCAGACTGGAGTGCAGTGGCCACTGCAGCCTCGACCTGCTGGGTTCCGGCGATCCTTCCGCCTCAGCCTTCTGAGTAGCTGGAATTACAGGCATGCACTACCACGCCCGGCTAATTTTTTTTTTTTTACTTATTGTAGAGAAGAGGTCTTGCCAAGTTGCCCAGGCGGGTCTCGAACCTGCGGGCTCAGGCAGTTCACTCACCTCGGCCTCCCAAAGCGTGGGATTACAGGTTGAGCCACTGAGCCTGGCCAAAATTGAGGTCTTAAAGGGATACGCAAATTAATCAAAGTCATACTTCTAGGCACAGTAAAGCAAAAATTAGAATCTAGCACTCCTTTATTCAAGTTCAGCGAGCTTCCATTTAACTAGAGTATAACAGCCATCCTTAGCAAGTATTTCAAAGTTTTGGGCTCATCAAAAGCCTTGATGTTTTCACTGATAATTATTAGCATATTATACATTCAACAAATAATTTTCCAGTACCTATTATGTGCCAGGCCCTATATTTGGTGCTAAGTCTGACTGAACAGGCACTATATTATCTGCATTTTCACATTTAATCCTCACAATACCATTAAGGTTAAGTGCAATTATCTCTATTTTAAAGATTAAGACTTAAGAAGATTAAGAAGGCTACCCATGGTCTCCAGTCAGGAAATGTCTTTATAAAAAGTAAATGGTATAATCAAACACAAAGTAAGTTTATCCTTGATAAAAATCTCATTTTTGTTGTAAATGCTATAATTCTGTGTATGACTTCAATCTGAATAAAGAATCTGTCATAAAAAAAACCACAGATCCCTACACAGAACCTAACACAGATCGTACAGGAGATGCAGAACTTGGTATTAGATTAGAGGTTGAAAGGCCCTTGTGGAGGGCTTTTTGTTTTTTTTTTTTGAGTTGGAGTCTCACTCTGTCGCCCACACTGGAGTGCAGTGGCTGCTCCCGGCCACCACAGCCTCAACCTGCTGGGCTCCGGCGATCCTTTCGCCTCAGCCTTCCAAGTAGCTGGAACTACAGGCACGCGCTACCACACCTGGCTAATTTTTTCATTTATTGTAGAGATGAGGTCTCGCCAAGTTGCCCAGGCAGGTCTTGAACCCGCAGGCTCAGGCAATCCACTCACCTCGGCCTCCCAAGGCGCGGGATTACAGGCTGAGCCACCGAGCCCGGCTTGTTGAGGGCTTTAAAGATCCCTTTTACCTTGTACTTTCCAAGACTCCAGAATAGACAGCACTTGTAGTAATCTAAGTGAAAGCCACTTGCTAGGAGAGCGATCGTTTCAAATAAATAGAAGGCAAAAAGAAGGGCTTCTAGTATCATGTAATGAGTTTTGGCCCAAAGAATATTAAATAAGATCCAAAGTAGAAGAGTCTGAATTCTCTTAAATATTACTCACTAAATAGTACAATACCAGTTACCTACTTTCAGAGCATAAAATCTCTATAGTATATGATCAAATTAATTAAAAGTTTCATTTACTGCCTTTCCCAGTAGGAATTGCTTTATCTTTGATTGTGAAGATTTCAACAAGGCCCATATTAAAAAACCCAAGTGCTAAACAGGGGTTTTACGGAGATTTTAGAATAAGCTTCGTGATTAGGTAAGAACCTGCTATTCTTGAAAACAGCAATCACCCTAGGGCCAACCTATAAAGAAAGAAGAATATTGAAATATAACAGGAGCAGAATAAAAAACATTTTAAGGCAGATTAACTTTACAAAGTGGTCTCCTACTTTGGAAAATAACTGGCATCGGGAAACCAAATCAAGCAGTCTCTTAAAAAAACAGAAGAATCTGCCATTTCTCCACCATACGGTACATTTGTGTTCTAGCCATAATTGTGTAGCTATGAATCTGAGACTAAGAAAAACAGCACTCTGATAAGTAATCAATCACAGCAGAATTAACAACATGCAGTATTTCTAACGTAAATGGTTACCTGAGAGGTCTGTCAGGAGTCTTGCTAGGATATGCTTGTTTACCAGTTCAGTCTTGCTAGGGCTGGAAACAAAATCTACCCTGGTAGTTTCTTTGACAGCAGTGGGCATTTTGGAAATCCCAAGATCAGATCCTGTCTTGACATTATGTTCTAGGACGTCAGTTGATTTCTGTGGCCAAGATTCTGGAGTGAATGTGGAAGTTTGCTTGCGTACTTCTTCAGAAGGAGATTCTACTTCACGCTGTGCAAAAGCTGACTTCTCCGCCTGCCTTTCACCTAATTCTTTAAGGGCTTTGATTGTGAGCTGTTCTTGTTCTAAGTCAAGAGATACTACTGGAGCACCTTGGGTAGGGAAAACATCCGGCAGCTCATTTCCATTTGTTTTTGTGCTTTGTTCACTGTATTTGCTTTTAATGTCTTTAATTCCAGAACCACCTGACTCTCTTTCTTGCAAGACTCCTACAGAAAGAGTTGTCTTAAAGTCTGTCCTCTTCTCTGATACTACTTCAGAGGCATTTCCTTCACCCTGATCTACTCTTCCTTTCACTCTGGTTTCTGTGAAGGCCACTATCAGGTCCTCTGGGGAGGAATCATCTATATCTTTAACGTTTTTCCCATGTAGTGACTCCAAACAGGCAGAAGTTTTCACACTGGGGTTCTCAGGAGTAACAGGCTTTTCTGAAACAACTTCGCTCATCCTATTCGACTGTTTCACGTCTTCTGATAAGACATTCAACCTGGGTACCTGTGAACACGATGCCTCACCAACTGGACTCCTTCCAAGAACATCAGGCTGCCCATCACTGACCAACTCTTCAAAGTTTTTAGATGTTTTGTTTTCCCTCTTGCAATAGGGAATCTCTTTGACTTCTCTTTCACCTGTTTTTGCAACAGCACTTGGCATGGAAACAGGTTTTTCAGCCTGAATTTTGTTATTCGCAAATGATGTGTCTTCTGTGATATCCTCTATGACTGTATCATCAGACTCCCCAGAACTGTCAGCCTCTGTGATTTCTCCCAGCACAGAACCCTGCCAGTTCATTTCATCCTTCAGGTGCCCATCAGGGAGAACAACTTTCACTGCAGTCTCTCCAGAACCCAAAGAGTCACACTTTGCAAATGGAGACCCAGGGAACCCTGACTGGGTGTCATCTGGTTTCTGCACACTGTCTTGCACACCTTTGACACCAACTTCCTCTGTGGAATTCGGAGAGTCTGATGTAGGTTTTCCAGCAACAGCATTTCCTTGCATGAGAGGTGCCTCTGCCCAACCGCCTGTTGATTCAGTGATGGGAGTGCTCCCATTAACAGAACATACAGGGATTTTCTGATGAGTGTTAGTTTTAAGATTTACAACTGGAATTTCTGAATTACACTCACTCCGGTTAAGTCCTACAGTTTTTGTGATGGAGTCAGAAGATTTCTCAGTCCACTGTTTCACTTGGGGAACCAAATCCCAGGTCAGTATTTCATTAGTAAAATTATGCATGTCATTCACACATCTAGATACCTCTTCCAAAGCTGCAGTTGTGTGTGAAAACTGTCTATTGAGCAATGCAGAGATTGGATAACGCCCTGCCTCTTTATTTCTCAGTGGAAATACTTTGTCATTAGTCTCCGAAATGTCTTCAGATGACTCTTGATCAGTGTGCATCAACCAGCTACCAAAATCATTTGTGCTCTCTTTGTAAGAGTCTTTAAATTCCCTGTCAAATGCTGCTTTGTCAATAATTACTTCAAATGGAGATTCAGGGGAATCCTTTTCAATAATTCCACCTTCTGAAACTGTGGATGGGGACAAGGAATATGTACAGATGCCTTCTCCTTTAGACTGCTCAGCAGGTGGTTTCTCGGCTGTTAGCAAAGTGAATTTGACATCAGCGTCCAATGCAGTTTTATCTTTCCTATTCGGTACCTCATTTGGGTTCTTGGCTTCTTGGTCCTTATTTATTTGCTCTTCCATGTGACCAACTTCCTTTGAGGGAAAAGCAGAATGCTCTGGGAAACAGGCTGGAAGACAAGGATGGTTACAGTGAACTCCGGCTATAAGAGAAACGGCAGAGTCTGCTAGGTTGTTGCTGGTCCCTTGAGGCTTTTCCATCTTTTTCATATCTAGAAGAGCCAGGTGGTCTTTTCCTTCTTTGGCTAAAATAAGTTGGTTGCCTAACACTTTGCTTTTTTCTTCATGTTGTGTTGTAAGGTCAGTGTTACGCATTTCAGAAGATGAAAGAAAGGAAGAAGTTACAATTTCTGAAGGTGGCTCATCAGAGCAGAAAGAGCTCAATCCCTCTATGGTCAGAATTTCAAAGAAAAAAATTGTTCACCGGGTACAATGACACATTAGCTAGTCAGGCCAAGCAGCATGCTTTAAAAAAAATTATATAAATATATATATATACACAGGATGTATATATACACACATAAACATGTAATAGAATAATGATCAAGAGTAATCCTACAGGACATGCATAAAATTGCTAATGGTGAAACAGAAAAGCCATATCATGCTACAGATTCCAAATGACAAAAAATTTTCATGACAAATACTTCTTCCACTGTAAAGATAGAGCATAAAGAAGGGTGATGAGATTGAGAAATCTAGGAACTTTTTCTTTTTTCTTTTGGTAGAGCTATTCAACAGAAGAAACTCCATATGAAACAAACAACATGACATTATGAAGCACTCATATACTTCCATCTGCAAGCTGAACAATTCAGAACACACAGTTCCTATAAATCCACTGCTGCAGTGACTCACAATCTGAGAAGGAAAAAAGAAAAGCAGCCAGAGTTCTTTTTTTTTTTTGAGTTGGAGTCTCACTCTGTCACCTAGACTGGAGTGCAGTGGCCGCTCCCGGACACTGCAGCCTCGACCTGCTGGGCCCTGGCGATCCTTCCGCCTCAGCCTTCCGAGTAGCTGGAACTACAAGTGTGCGCTACCACGCCCAGCTGATTTTTTGATTTATTGTAGAGATAGGTCTCGCTGCCCAGGCGGCTCTCGAACCCGCGGGCTCAGGCAATCCACTCACCTCAGCCTCCCACAATCCACTCACCTCAGCCTCCCAAAGGCACGAGATTACAGGCTGAGCCACCGAGCCCGGCTGAGGGCAGTGTTCTTTTTGATCTTTAGGAGATACAGAAGACTCTTTCTGAGCTCCAAAATGAGACTAGAATTATTCCACACTATCCTCAAGAAGGATCCGTCCCATGTACAAATGGCCTCAATGTTCTAAACCAAAGGGTACTGAGAAGTATGGCTTGTTCCAATATCTCTCGCACCAACTTGCCATCTTAATCAGAATTGTACTGTGCAAATTGGTTTCTCAGGTGAAAATAGTGCTAACTCCAGAATTCCTTTTGCAATAGAAAATACCTTTCCTTCAGGTAATACATTAAGTCTTAACACCACAGTGGTCATTAATTTGCCATATCATTTTCTTACTATCCAATCTAATAAGTTTGTATTTTGGGGAAAAGATCAAAACAACCATCCAAGGGCAGGTGCTGTCTTTCTTGCACATTGTTGTGTCTCTGGAACGGGAGCATAGTACATCTTAAAAAATAGCTCCAAACAAACGAATCAAAGATTGGCTGGTCAGGTGAGACCTAAGTAGGCTCAGGACAGCAATGCCTTGTACATGAGTAATTGAGAGGATGTAAAAATAAATTCCACTGGGATTACCTTTATTCAGCTCATTGTTTTCTCATGTAAAAATCTAAATATTAGATAAAAGCAAAATTACATCATTCAAAATTATTTTATTAAAGATAAGGTAAATATTATACTACAACGAATAAAATTTCACTATTGTAAAAATAGTATATGACATTCCTAATGCTATATAAAGTTCCCCTATTTCAACACATCACTGAAATTTGATGTAACAGGATCTGAGCTTTAGAAACAGTAAAACTGTAATTTGGGCATTAGAATAAAAAGTCTTTGTACACTGAAGAAAAACTGTTAAAGTCTGGTGGCAAACTGTATTACTAAAACAAAACATTTGAAGTAAAATCCAACTCGTATTCAGTTCTAATGTAATACACGTGGTTTGCATCCATCACTATCTAGTATGGATACTGAGCATGACTGGACTAAGGACATAATAGAAAAAGCCCAGCACTAGAGGTTATAAGGCTCAAAAATCTAAAGTTTCAAGTACTACAGATTACATTTAAATCAGAAAGATGCCATAATCTGAGCCATGTACTGTTACTGAACTTACTGGTCAGAGTTTCTACCAGAAAACATTCTATGAACTAAATCTGGGTTAAGGCAACACTGTCCGGCAACACTCCCTTCAAACAACCTTGAGGTGAGCAAAACTGACTCCACCCCACAGGGAAGATGCAGCTAATATGCTTTCCAGAGATGAAGATTTCAGATGACTCAGATACGTCATCTTACAGGTGAAAGTCAACAAAATGATTCAGTAATAATTCAGCAAATGTTTACTAAGGGCCTACCATGTGTCAGACAGTGTTTTAGAAACTGCATTTAAAGCAGTGACCAAAACAAAAATCAATAAGCAAAGTGATGATGATACTGATGATGAAGATGTGGTTGTGAGGGTGCTTGGTAGAATGAAAAAGAAAGCACCCTAGGCTGAATGCCAACCAAACAATGCACACATCAGGGGGAGCGGGGAGAGTATGGAAAAACGTTCTATGCTCAGTTTACCAAGCCTTGCTTTTCTCTTATCTTCCCTGAATTCCTGCTACTTCAAGTTTCGAGTTAGGTGTAGAATATAGCCTTAGGTAAAACTAGACGATAAGGCTGGAAGTCCTATTCTCAAAATATCAAAAGGTCCGCTGAGCACCATGACTGCCGGATGGACTTCAAATATTTTACTACAGATTATTTATTATGGAATAACAATTAGATATACAAAAATCATTCTAATCATACTCCCTAATGATAATTTTGTCACTTACTATTGGGGTGGAGACTGTTTTCAGGGTCAAACTTAGAGGTAAACAGAGCCTGATGCTGCACTCACTCCTCAGGGACCATGAGATGCAGGTGCTAGCTCTCCCCATTGTCCGTTAAGGTTTCTCACATGTAGAAAAATAAGGTGGCATCCTCATCTGTGCTTCGATTTTAATCATCTTGATTAGAATTTCAGGAAATGAAAAGAATTTTTTTTGGCTAGTTAAAACCCTAACAAAGTTGGACAGAGCTGACACGTACCAAGACAATGAAAAAAACTGGGCTGGAAGTAAAAAGTTTATAAAGCCATGAAAACACTAAACAGAATGGAGACTAGAAACTAAAAAGCCTTTCAGGACAGCTCTGATAAGCAAAGACTCTTCCAATTAGTCAGTAGGGCACTTAATAGTCATGGGTGCTGTCCAAGTCATTACCTGGTAAAAGGGCGGAAAACTCCAGGGAATCTGAGGGCTGTAAGTTCTTTAATACACTATAAAACTGCCTGGTGGAGTAACTCTGGATTAATTTACTCCTCAAAAAAATGTCAACTACTTTTCCTTTTTCTTTGTTTCTTGAGTCGAAGTCTTACTCTGTTGCCCTGGCTGAAGTGTAGTGAAATTCTAATTCTGTAGTCTCAACCTGCTGGGCTCGGGTGATGCTTCTGCCTCAGTCTTCCAAGTAGCTGGAACTACAGGCGAGCGTCACTACAACCAGCTAATTTTTTTGATTTATTGTAGAGACAAGGTCTCACCAAGTTGTCCAGGCTGGTCTCAAACCCCTGGGCTCAGGCAATCCTCTCTCCTCTGCCTCCCAAAGTGCTGGGATTACAGGTGTGAGCCACAGTGTTTGGCCTCTTTCCTTTTTCAAAAAATTCATCCCTCCACACACTAGAGACTTTTAACATTACTCAAAGGAAATCTCTATCAAAACTCTCATTATGAACGTTTTCTAAAGTAGTTATTTTCTAGAATGATATTTAATGTGCATATTCATTTCAAGAGCTCTAATCACTTAAGAATATGGTGCTACTCTAATTATTAATAAATAAGGTTCTTCTAAAAAAAAAAAAAAAAAAAGCAGGATTTATTAAGAGGACAGAAAAGTTCCCACAGTGGGAGGGAACCCTAGGGGGTTGCCCAATAAGGTTCTGTATCCAGCAATTTTATTAAAAAGGGAATATATAGTGAGAGGTGAAAAATGTTATATCCCCATTATGACAAATACTCAGCTCCATGCTTACCCGTATCTTCTTAAATTCTAAATACTTAGCCAGGCTCGGTGGCTCAGCCTGTATCCTGTGCTTTGGGAGGCTGAGGTGAGTGGATTGTCTGAGTCCGTGGGTTCGAGACCTGCCTGGGTAGGCGAGACCTCATCTCTACAATAAATCAAAAAATAAGCCGGGCGTGGTAGCGCATGCCTGTAATTCCGGTTACTCGGAAGGCTGAGGCGGAAGGATTGCCGGAGCCCAGCAGGTTGAGGCTGCAGTGCCCAGGAGAGGCCACTGCACTACAGTCTGGGCAACAGAGTGAGACTCCAACTCAAAAAAATAAAAATAATAAATAAATACATAAATACTCAAGAAGTCTCCTCTTAGGTATATTATCTGAAACAATTCTAAGCAATTAAGTTGGCACTCATATTCTAACTTTCTAGACCACGCTCACATAAAAAATTCCTATTAAAAGATACAGAGTCCTTTTATCACACTTACTAATCACACAGCCTTGGGCAAATTGCTTAACCTTGTTTCATCAAAATAGGGATATTAAAACACCAAACATCAGAATTGCTGTGAGGATTAAATGAGTTAATGCACGTTTAGGATAGTATCTGGCACTTAGTAAATCCCAATAAATGTCACCAAATACCACATTCTTAAAAAAAAAAAAACTCTCTTGACAAAGAGACTCCAGACCATATGCCTTTTTTTTTTTTTTTTTTTTGTGAGTTGGAGTCTCACTCTGTCACCCAGACCGTAGTGCAGTGGCTGCTCCTGGCCACTGCAGCCTCGACCTGCTGGGTTCCGGCAATCCTTCTACTTCAGTCTTCCAGGTAGCCGGAACTACAGGTTCACGCTACCACGCCCGGCTAATTTTTGATGTATTGTAGAGACGAGGTCTCGCTCGCCAAGTTGCCCGGGTGGGTCTTGAACCTGCGGGCACAGGCAATTCACTCGCCTCGGCCTCCCAAAGTACTGGGATTACAGGCTGAGCTATATATATGCCGTTTTACTAGGGGAGAGAAAACGGGCATATTGTCAAATCATAATCACTTTCATCTGGCACATAATGCAGAAAATCCTCATTCAGAGTTTAAATTTTTCCCTTCCATCATTCATAAATAAAGGAAAGTAATTTAA